TGTCACGTCATTATAAGTGTTTGATCACCACATTTGAGTGATCATTGCAAAAAATGTGTTTATGTATATATATTCTGTTTATGTATATCAGGGGCGGCGTTTCCGTATGGCAGAGTATGGCAGTTGCCATACCCTAGCCCAGTCAGGTGTGCTGTGAAAAATGATCCAAACAAACTTCACATCTCTATTATAATTCGTTATTATTAAATAATAAATATCAGAGGGTTTTACAAATATTTAACTAATGCTATTACAAAGGGCTTGTCAGTAAAACTTCGTAACGCTGTTGAATCCTCAAGTTCTCAGCGAAACCTCGTAACTTCACCCCGCCTCCATTCTGATTAACGCGCCGTGCACAGCCTGGAGACATATCTCCGCTTTTTCACAATGCAAGGGTAAATAAATAATTGATGTTTGAATAGTACAGCGTTTTCTTCAAACACTATGTCTGTAAAGGCTAATGTTTTTGTGTGTTTGAAGAGCGGAAAAGTAGGTTAATGGCCGTCTAGCCAAAAGGCCTACACTTTTGTACGTTTTAAATATCCTGTGCATATCGCTCTTCATCATTTATATCATGAGATTTTGGCCTAGTTTCTTTACCACGCTATTCAGCGCCAATCCCGCCGTGCAGTCAATTTCACTGGTTAAGGTTAGGGTCAGGTGTGGGATAGGTTTAGGGGTTAGCATTTTTTTTGTAGCATAGTGTAGGAAGTCAACACTTTAATTGACACAACCAATCAAATCTTTAGAATCAGCTGTGGGGCGGAGTTTGCACTGAAGTGGATTGGGGGAAAAAATTGCGCATGCGTGTCATGTGCCTGTCTGTCAATGGGAGGAAGCCACGCCCTATTTTGGAGCTCCCACCCTGTTTTGGAGTTCCCGCCCCCATTTGGAGATCTCCGGGCTGCAGTTATACCCTTCTCCATCTTTGCGTGTGTCCTGTGCGCGGCTTAGAGCTAATATTGCATACTAGTGAGAAACCAGAAAAAACAGAGTGGAGTTACAACCGAACGATAACAGAACGTTTTGGGCTAAGTAGAGGAACTATATGTCCGTATCACTCGTGCATCCAGACCGGGTTTCCATCTGAGTGTTGCTTGGCGACACCTAAAATGATGCTTCGGTATTTTGTAGAACAATTTTTGTTGTTAAAGAAGAAATATATAACTGGTCAATTTGTCAGAAAATTTACTCGTACCATATACAATAAGACAACACGCTGTCAGCTTTGATCGAGGAAAATAAATATATATTAATACATAAATATACATTAAATACAAAATACGATAAAGTTGTTTATTGTTGTAGGTACTTGTTTATTTGCCACAAAACGTGGAGAATAATGCGAATAACTGTCATACGTGTTGTTACTTTTGTGTGCCATTGACTATTTGTTGATATTTGCATTAACTGATGCACAACATGTTAGAGAAACTGATCACAATACATCAGAGCAAAAGAAAACGCGCTTTAAATGATGTATTCGCCGTGTGATAGACAGATCACTTATGATGCAACTTGATGCATTGACTAAGTAATAAATCGCAGACATTAACTCTCAACAGAAATCGAAGTGACAAACTAACGGCAGCTCTTCCTGCATGACAGGCCAGTGAATGCTACCGTAAACACTGACTGCGCACCAAACAACTGCGTACGAGAGGCGAACAGGCCCTTCACGCAGTAGACCAAGCGCTAAACCGTGTATATCGTCAAATATTAGAGGACAACACAGTCTACGCAACGCTGAAACGAAATTTCAGCTCTGATATCCAGCAAGTCATGCGACCTCTGAGGTAGCGCGTGCTATAGGCTGTAATTATGCTACTTGCGCAAACACAGCTGCCATTTACTTCATTTTATAGGCACAGGCGATATGTAACGGTTCAAAACGTTGCCTACCTGCCATGGCTCACGTAACAGCCAAACCGAACCGGATACAGGGCTGGGAGAGAAGCAGTTCGTGGTCTGTCTGAGGATTTATACTAGTGACATGACTTTCATGGTCACATGACCCCTGACAACAGACACGCCCCCCTCACTTACCACATTTCAGTTAAAAACATTGGGAGACATTACGCCACGAAACTCATTTTCAGGTACGATCTGAGATACAATGAACTAGTTATGCATACGTTTAAGTATGTCATTTAAAATAATAAAAGTTTTCATTTCATGTTCAAATGCAGTTGGAAGTTCCTCTTTTGTCTCATAGCAGTAACAAGTGAATTGTGTCTCCTTAACTTTTTCATTTGATGCCATTTAGTGATAAAAAAAAAATCCTCGAATTAGTCATTACGTTGAGGATACTTAATAGATTTAATTTTTGTTTTCCTGTTAAAAGACACAACTTAACATACATTTTCAGACTCAAGTACATTAGGCCTATATAGAACAGCATGTTGCAAAATACCATTTCTCAGAAGAATAAACTGTTTTACCAGCCTACTAAATGACAGAGTGGTGAAAGAAAAAGAAAACTTTTATCAGATGATCATTTGTATCAAGAGTAAACAGCGGTGACCATGATAGCACAGCATATGTAAAAACTAACATATCTTGTTAGATCCCATGCCATAGTCTAATCCAGGGGTTTTCAAACTGGGGTCCAGGGGCCCTCAGGGTGCCACAAGGGAGTGCTAGGAGGTTTGTGGAAAAGTAGTGTAAAAATGGTAAATTAATTAAATTTTTTTTAAATAAATAAGATTACAGAACTCAACACTATTACTGTTTCATTCTGTTTTCTTAAGACTGGTCAGACTATCATAGTGAATTAATAAATGAATAACACAAAATTATTACTGTCAATAAATTACGTCTGTGTAGGAAAAAATGGTTTATAGAAACTTATTGTTCATTTAATATTAAGTTAATGTATAAAATATTTTAGTTATATATCAATTATAAATTGATAAACCACGAGTTGCCTTTTATAATTTAGAAAGGAGGTCTCTCGGAAGGAGATCGTCATATTTGGGGGTATGTGACAAAAAAGTATGTAAACCCCTGGTCTAATCAGTGGAGCAATGAGACACAGGAACCCATTTCGGATTAAAAACAGTAAACATAGGCCTACTGCTGTTCAATGTGTAGAATGATAAAAATTTCATTAATTTATCACACTGGTGGAAAATACAGCATTTCACAATATTCTGCATACACAAATCACACTTTAACAGCTTATATGGATGAAATATATATTTAGTATTTTCAGCATGTTTTGGTCCTTTGGCGAGGAAGGTGAAAAGTTACCTTAACACTTGATAAGATGAATCACTATATTTTGTTCCCATTCCAGTATCAAGCGACAACACAATAAGCAAGAGTCATCTTCTGAATTGAATCAGTGAGTTTAGAAAGATGATTCATCAGAGATTCATTCACTTCCTGTTTTTCTCATGTGGCTTGAGGTAGTGAGGACGGTTTATTGATGGAGAGTTGGAATGACACCGAGGCTTGATACGAGAGAGAGCTCATCTTGGTACTGAGGGTGGGGTGAGAGGCCACAGAAGTCGAGGAACACCTCAAGAGCTTCAGCAAGTTCCTGCGAAAGTTCTTCCCAACAAAACCGTACAGGACTGGGTTCATACAGCTGTTGAAAAAGGCAATACAAATGGTGAACGGCATTACGGTGTCAATGATCTCAATGACATCGCAGTTGGTGATCACTTTCAGCAGAACAAGCATGTTCATGAAGTTGAAGATCTGATGAGGTGTCCAGCAAAGGAAAAACGACAGCACGGCAGCAGCCAGCATGCTCAACACCTCGTCCCCTTTCGATCTCGAATTCCTCTGAATGTCCCGTACTTTGAGCAGAGACTGACCGATCAGGCAGTAGCATGTGAGGATGATGGTGATGGGCAGAAGGAACCCAAGAACACTCTTTATCAGACTGAGAGCTGCCAGCACATTGCGAAGATCTTCTCCATCTAGGATGCCACATACAGTGACATTGTTATGCTGGATAAAATGGGTCCTACGGATAACGGCTGTGGGAAGGCTTAAAAGAAAAGCCACTACCCAAACCAAGACGCATGTCACACGGGCGTACACCACCGTACGGCACCGGCGGGACCTGACTGGATGAACGATGGCCAGATACCGGTCAATGCCGAGAGCAGTGAGGAAAAAAATACTAGTATATAGATTAAGGAGGATCATCCCAGCAATGGCTTTACATAGGAAGTCTCCAAAGAGCCAGTGGTAGCCTGTTGCAGTGTATATGGCCCAAATAGGCAGGGTGAGGAGGAAAGTCAAGTCTGACACTGCTAAGTTCAAAACAAATATGTTTGCAATGGTCTTCAGCTTCAAACAGTAGTAGATGACAGCGACTACCAAGCTGTTGCCTACAATTCCGATGATAAAGTTGCAGCTATAGACTACTGGGATGAACGTGAAGATGAAATTGTGGTGCCCGGTCATGTTACACGTGAGCTTGAGTCCCACATTAGCGTCGGCTGTTATGTTGTCCATTTTGGAGATCTGTCTTTCACAGCCTAAAAAGCTGCATCACTAAAAGAGCCCTATAAGAACAGAGTGGAAACAGATGGTTAATATGGCTAAAAGTTTCATGCAATTTCTCATAAGGTTATTTTTTTTTCCATTTGAAAGATGCATTACTTACAACAAACACTAGATGTCTCTCTGCTCATATTATTTAGGAGCTTGTTGATTTTGGATAACAGCAACTGGATTGAATGTACTTCAACAGCTCCTTCCAGTTCTATTGAAAATTAGCTAAATCTGGTACAATGCATTAAATGCAAACATTTATGTTAAATATTGTACATGGTTCCTGATAGATAGATAGATAGATAGATTTTTAAAAATATATTTTAATATGCATAAATAATGTGTATTAAACATGATAAATGCACTGTGAGAATTCGGTTTGGTCATCCTCTCAAAGCTCCCACAACTATACCATAATGAAAACACATCAGGCAGCTTCTCATGGGTGTAAAGGTCAAACATGGTCAAGCTCTCCAACAATATGTCAGACTTATTTTTAGCTGGTCTTTTTTTTTATAAAGCTGCATTCTCACCCTCAGGGAAGAGCTAAATATTTCTAGGCAAGAATTTGCTTAGACATTTGAAAAGGCTTCAGATATACTGCGACACCGTTATAGTGTTATATATTGAACACAGTACAGTATGTCTATATAGTATGCTGTAGTAGGTAATTTATTATGAATAACTGTAACTGTAGTTTTATTAATGGAATAACCGATGTAGGCAAATTCCTCGTAACTGTAACTTAGCCAATAAAACTGAATTCAGGTTCTGTAATTATAAGGTATTAGCTCTTGTCTGCTCAAGCTGTTTCTTCACTGGTTTCAGGATAAGACAAGCACATATTGTGTAAGCAGATGCATGCATGCTGCCAAGGGAGTCAACAACCAATAACAGATGACATTGCATTCCAAGGTTCACGTCTTTTGAATATCACTCAATCTATTTTAATATGCTTATCAGACATCCGCTATTGCTCAGGAAGTGGTGGCTGATCAAGATATTGTAATAATTTGTCATACTGATAAGAGATTTTTGTTTTTGTTTGCATTTATTTTTTATTTTGGTGGTCTAATAAAATCTTTGTACTCCCTACAATGATGGATATGATCAGCCCTGTTAAGCAAATTGAGTGGAGGAAAGTTTAAGCATTCAAACTGTGATGGATTAACAACAACGTTAAAGTCCTCTGAGACTGTACTTACCTTGACAAAGAATCTTAATGTGCTGAGCTAAACACATGAAACACGGTCATTTACATCAACGGTGGGTTAAGTAGCTGGAGAGACACTGACAGACCAGACAGAGAACACACACACACATTTATAAACATTAGATGTTGCGTTACGGTAAAAAAAAAATGTGCTATGACATTCATTGTGTGAGGTTATGTGTCAGTTTGATCAATTTACAAACAAAAATATATCATCTGAAATCTGTTCTTTGTTAACTCACAAGCTTATTCATCTCTTTGGGATATGATTAAGGTTTGATTAAATATTGTAATTTAAGGTAATAATTAAAAATACAATAAAAAAACAGATTAAAAAAAAAAAATTTAACATTTATAAAAAGATGTATTTTTACCTTTAGTGAAGATGACATCCAAGCTGCTCTGTCAGTTCCAAAACTGGCTTTAAGAGATCCGTCCTGACTCTTGGTCATGACAGAGTGCCTGGTGCTTTTCCTTTACGCCCTTCTTATACCTCTCCGATAGTCCTACAACTACACCAGGGACCCACAGCAAGGGCTGCACTGTGGGGGCCGGATACGTCCATGGTCATGGGAGCAAAAAATGGGGGTGAGAGAGAGGCAGAAAGAGACCCTTGAGGGCAGAGACAGATTTTCCCATCATTTATTTGGTCACCTTTTTCTCTTAAACATGAAAAACATGTTCTGTTCTTCTTTTTCCACATGCTTGTAAACAACATTTCTTCAATGGATTGTTCAGTAAAAAGCCTGCACATTAGCATAAAACACATTACATGATTATCCTAGCTTTAAGCACATAACAAAAACAAAAAAAAAGGTACAGACTGGTAGTGCGACAGCATGGACATTTACATGATTTATTCTGATGGCTCTATATTAATGCATATCATCAGGGTGAGCCTGGTAAACCTGTCAAAATAATGAACAAATGGCCTTCTGTGAATATTAAAGGGGTCATATGATGCGATTTCAAGTTTTCCTAAGCTCACTGTCAATAGCCTAATGATACTGCATTTAGCCACTTTCATAAAGCAGCAGGGACATATATGTATATATTTTTACAAAGTGACTGCTATTTGTCTTTCCCTCATTTTTTGAGGCCTCTGGGACCTCTGGCCTCTGGTGCTTCCCTTACCAAAAAGTAGTATACTTCAAGTTTATTTTAGTAAGTATACTTAAGTAATTTTACTCTGAACTCTCAAGGGTAAATCTAGCTCCTTCATCGTTGTCGTATTCAGCTGCTGGTCTTTCGTCTCTTCCCTTAAACAGTCAGTCAAAGCATATCTGGAGACCATAAATCTATGTATTTGGACAAAAATGAATACTAGAAGGAAGTGCAGGCAGCTCTAACAGGCCAAAGACAGTATATCGTTAAGAACACATAGAATATAGAATTTGATTTTGTCTGCAAAAAGACACAATCACATGGTCAGTTTTTCACAAACAGACTGGCCAGAGACAGAGAGTGTGGAGCATAAGTCTCATAGTAAGTGGATTTTGTGTTGCTGCATCAATAGGAGGTTAATTCAATACACTCAAAAGTTAACGTTGCCTTCAGGGCGCAATGTGGATGCTGATGTCTGCAGTTCCCCTGCCCTTATTAAGGATATTTGTTCCACCTGTTTGTTCGGGTAAATGTTAAAGAGCACATGCATATTTTTAATCAAAATTCTATTAATATCAAATATTGGACTGAATGTACATTTATCCCACTTATTACACAACTCCTCACCAAATAAATAGCCAATGGGCAAGAAATACTGAATCTTACCTGTATATTTTTTCTAACGTTTCCTCTGAGAAAACATCACAATGTACAAAACACAAAGTCATGTCTAATTCAAACAATAACTGAGACGCACACAACTTGCCTTCAGCTATATTACAGTAAATTTGCCACAGTGTTTTTCTTGTTGCTGTGCTGACTGTTTTGTAAATCTCAATGGACAGAAATACAGAGAGAGAGAGAAAAAAGTTTGCGTTATACGAGAGATACGAAAGTATTCAAGTATACCATAGCATTCCAGAGCCGTGTAATAATGCCAATCAGCCTCTTCATTTGGCTTCATTTCATAATTATTTAAAGTACAGCTTAAAGTAAGGCTGAATGCAAGAAAACAGTGAGGTTTTGAGTTTTTTATAATGGTGTATAATAATGTATAATGGTCACAGCTCTGATTCCCATGCAGCTGTACCCCAGAGACAGCTATAATTTGTCCACACCTAAATCAACATGGCCATATCCAGGCCAAGCAAAAACCAAACACCCAAAAACCCTCAGGGACTTTTAAAGTTTGTTTGCATAGATATTTGAGATTTTCCTGTTGTCTCCCAAAAACACATTTGTCCTCCTGACGGTGCTAATAAACAAATGGTACATATGTATGTTGATTTTTTCCCTACTCAGCTAAACTCCTGTTATCATTTATTTTTCTGCCTATTTAAAATATAGAAACTACTTGGTTTACCTCATTGCCCGGATGTGAATGTGGTCAATATTGCATGCCCTGGACATTTACAACATGAGTCAGTCTGTGAGTCCTAACCTTTGCCCTCTGCTGCCACTGCTGATGTGAGTCACATAGATGAGAAAAACATCCTGGATAACACCATGAAATGAAGCATTCGCCTCATTTCAAGGGTACACAATAAAAAGTTTAACGCATGACTTGCCTACACTGCATTATCTAGGCCTGCTCATTGTTTTGGCTATTGATCACATGTATTCCCATGCAGTCTGCAGCCTCTGTATTAATAAGTACATGCGTTTGATATGGCTGGTTGCTCTTCACTCAACACCTACTGAGGAATTCTGATGAAGAGCAGAACCTCACTGCCCAGAATATCTCCTCCAATCGCTAACTGAGGCCATGAGAGAATATTACACACATAAAATGCTAAATACATCATAAGTATAGTCATGATGATACTTGCAAACACATACATTTTCACCACCAATGCTTTTAGGTGCCTAAAAATGTATTGCTGAAATGTTGCTCTTTTACAGTTTGTGAATGAAGGTCAGTTGTATAATTATGTTTCAGTTAATATCAGCTTAACCTCAGGTGTTTCTCCTACAAGTCCACAGAAGAAATAAAAAATAGATCCAAATGAGACCGTTTTTTTAAACAGTTAGTGTATACAAATATTTGATGTATAATTTACAAGTTTATATTGAAAAGTCTAACAATTATATTGAAAAGTCTATAGGATATGCATGATTAGGTCTTTATCGTATGAGACAAACTGAGAAGCAGGAGATTAACCTTTAAGCAAAAGTTTCCCTTAATTGTCTATTTATCTCATTGGTGTCTTGCAAATAAGTAAATGTACAGACCTCAAAGAACATTGAAAAGCAGATGAGATGGACTGAGCTTTTTTTCCATATATTCTTTGTAACATTATCCTTTCATGTTTGTTTATTTATTTATTTATTGCTACTTTCCAGTCACTAATTTACATCTATGTGAAAACTCAAAGAAGGGAATCACCAGGAAAGTTTATTTTAGAATAAGCACATTTTTTATATTCTCCATCCCATGAGGCCCAGTGATTGTGAATTATCATGAAGTTCATTCTGAGAAAATGAGAAAAACCCCAAAGCCCAGGAGTCAGTCATGCAGGATTGTTTTTGGGAGTGAGAGCACAAAGAGCTGACCAGTGTTGAACTCGATAAGACGTGCAGAATGTTTGTTGTCATATTTATTTATTGTTGCCTCAGACCGCTTCTGCTGAACAGAACCACTTCAAGTCATAATTTACTATCTGACCAAGGGTTCAATATGGAAGAGTTGTTTATTTATTTAGTTAGTTATTTCAAAGCCAGGTTTATAATATCTACCACTGAGCAGCTGGCTAAAACTTCAGGCGAGTCAAAATGTACAGTACTATAACCAATATGATGTTCATCTGAGGTTATGAGTTACACACTCAGGAGAGAAGTCTGCACCTGCTAGTCCTCTTGATCACGTAGACTCATCAGTCACAGTCAGGAAAGTGCAGCAGCCCTTCATGATACTGTTACTGTAACCAAATCAAGCTCACTAATGGATGCATAAACCATGTATGAAGGAGAGAGCCTGAGGCTTCAAACAATGTTTCAATTACTTCTGCACAGGTTACTAATGTCTTTTGATCATTATCACAGCTGTCAGGTTTGTCACCACACAGAAGTACCTTTGACTGCAGACTACGTCAGTGTTATAATGTACATTGTTACAATGTGATAATGTACATTATGTTATGTGGACTGCTTTTCAAAACAATTTAAAAAATAGTAAGTTAAATGAAAAAAACGTGCCTTTTCATGAAAGCTAATATATATATATATATATAAAGAATTCAAAGATTTTATTTTCATTTTTACCTTATCAAGACAGTTATGGCACCTAGATTTTTTTTCTCTTAAAGCACCATAAAAAAAACTTTTATTTCAAAATTTGAAAACATATTTGATAATATTAGGATAAAAAGGGTAAAATGCCTGTCACTGTAAGTATTATACCTGAGATCATCTCTATTCCAGCCAGGTTTGAATGAACGTTTGTAGTGCTCCTTCCTGTCATAGAAAGAAGTGCGTCTCACCTCTGCCACCATGTGGCTCTCTCCTTGGCAAAAAAACAAACAAAACAAAACAAAAACATTCTGTCGTCCTCTTAAAGGCAGGGTATGTGATTTTTCAAAAACACTTTAGAAAACTGATTCGGGCCGAATAGCAAAACAAACTTGTAGCCAATCAGCAATAGTCGGCCCACCGGGAAAATGCTCGATTACCAGTCCAGCCCTGGCTCTCTGTATGTCCACAGGTTCACATCTCAAGTCAAGCTTTTAACAAACTTTACCGAAACTTTTTAACAGTAACCTAACATATTAAGGCACTCTGCACTGATGATGTACTGTGATTTTAGGGGCTATATCAAGAAACACTCAAAGGAAAACACCAATCACTGAAGTATGAGAACGACATATGAACATTATTAGAGCATCTGAAGGCCCGTCAGACTGCTGGAAATGAGAGACGCAGGTATTGCTGACAGCTGCACATTAAAATGACAGGTAGCTTTGAAAGTTCGGTCCAGTTGGGAGAACGCTTCAGATGAGAATCACAGGGATCACTCCGAAAAATAAGCTTCATTACGCTCATATGCTCCTTTACATAGCAACAGTACTTAATGTGCCCTTTTTGAACGGACAGAAAATAAACTGTTAATATGAAATACAACCATACAGCGTGTTAAAACTAACCGTGTGCAATCACATTAAATAAACATTAAATACATATTGCATTTCAAATCTGATATTCTTAAACCCGGATACTTACTGGAAAACTTCACAAAATAGATTTAAAAGATATGAATAAATAAAAGCGACTTGACTTGAATTATTTTATTGGGGGTGGGGAGGATATTTTGAAGAATGCTGGTAACAAAACAGCTGCTGGTAGCCATTAACTTCCATAGAATTTTTTTTTTCTATACTATGGAAGTCAGTGGGGACTAGCAACTGTTTGGTTACCCACGTTCTTCAAAATATCTTCTGTGTTGAACAGAAGAAAGAAAATCATAGAGGTTTGGAACAATTTGAGGGTGAGTAAATGATGGAATTTTCATTTTTGGGTGAACTATCCCTTTAAATTCAGATTCAGTTAAATGTAAAGTCTGTACTAATTATTTATTAGAGGCCAAACTTTAACCCACAGATGGATTAGCTGTGATTAGTGCCGGTCAGCCTGTTCTAATGAATGCAATTACTGTTCAGAGACATCAGATCAGTGCGTGGAGGATTTATTCCGTCTAGGGGAAGAGAACACAGTGTTTTTTCCCCAGAATCATCCTTTGCTGAAGTGGGCACATTAACATTTACAAATGTACAATTTCCCCTTTACTGTGACATTTACAATGCACTTAATTTTGTTGCTGATCAAAAAATGTTCTGAATGACACTTGTGAAACTGAAATGTGCAGTATTTAATGCTTTATTACACTTAAGTTGAACACAATCTCTTTATAAGACAACAACAAAGTTGAGATGATTTTGTATTAAAACATTCTTAACATTTGTGTTTAGAGTTTAAGCTACAGTTACTAACTAGTTTCACATTTATATATGTCTGTATATCACATCATGCTCAAACTGTTTTGACACGCAACAAATATTACTAATATACAAACTGTTTTTAGTCATCAAATATCATATATATATATATCATATACAAGTAGTAGAGGACACCATCATCCGTCCATCACAAATGCCATAGACATCAGCAGGATTATCCATAAACACCTGAACGCAAGAACCGAACGCAGACATATTTGACAAATGACTGTTGTAATGTAATACAGAGCATTTGTAACGGGTTTCTGTAGGCCTTCACTTGCAAGTTCACTGCGACGTCCATCCATAAATCTGTGCTGATCTAAACGGCTCTTGATTTCCTTGAGAAAATGTTTAGATTATGTGATGAGGATGTGAAAGAAGGTCATTTATACAGTATGTTTAACATGTGGATGATTTCAATTGCCCAGAGTCTCTTTATTTAGCATCTGTGTACTTGTAAACTAAACTAGCAAGCCAAGCATTACATCCAGTCTTACAGCTTCCTGTAGGCCAGTGGAGCTGAACTTTTTTTATTCTAAGCCCCCCCCCCCCACATCAAAATGAGAGTCCAAACATCTGATAAAAACATAATACACAATAAAACACAATAGCCCACACCTACAGTAACACACACATCACTGTCTTGTAAAGTGAAAATCCTTCCTGTGGCTCAGTGGTAGAGCATTGCGTTAGCAGCGCGAAAGGTTGTGGGTTCAATTCCCAGGGAACACACATATACTGGTAAAAAATGTATAGCCTGAATGCACTGTAAGTCGCTTTGGATAAAAGTGTCTGTTAAATTAATTATAAATTATTAAATTATAATTATAAATTATAAAATCTGTGTTTCCAAGAAACAAATCCATCTTTAAGGCATTTTAGTCCATAATCCATAATAATGCTTTCTCCAGTAAAATATTCCATCCCGTGGTCTTGAAGGTGAATACATTTTCAGCAAATTTTCATTTTTTGGTGAACCATTCCTTTAAGGTTATGTTAGTATAACTACATTTAATTTTATTTTGACCAGTGGCAGCCCTGATTACATCTCAGCTGAGGTCAGAGGTCATTCCCAATGACAGCAATAAGCCACAAAAGATTTCAAACACAGCTTTTTATTTAACTTAATAAACAGATGCATGTGGTGACTTGATTCTCAAAAAAAAAAAAAAAAAAAAAAAAAAAAAAACAGAAAGACCTGTGCATGAAAATATATGATAGACATTTAATTTAATTAACTATGACTACGTTGACTATGACTACACTCATGACAATGAGTGTCCAGCTTATATCAGTTGCTAATACAGTGGTTTATTCTTACCATTATCTCCCAAGGTGAAATACAGCATTACAAGATGAACATCACTTAAAACCTATTTGTAATTTTTTATTTTGTTATTTTTTTTAAATGGCATAAGTCAGAGTGGGAACTGAAGAACTACTGTACAATTTACAAGACAAACAAACAAAACTCAAACTGCCAAAATACAAAAACAAAAAAACTCAAGTTTTATGGCTTCTACTTTAACAGTGATCACTCTGCATACAAAGCATACTAATGTGACAAATTTCTCTGTATAAAAAAAGTAGATCCCAGTGGTTTGCCATTTGTTTAGGATAGGACAGGATATAAATGGAGGGTATAAATGGTCAATTACACACCTTACAAAACCGTATCCCTGAATATCCAGTGACTATTTGGTATAACAAAGCTTCTAAATTGCATAGAGGAAAATCAACACATAGTACTTCTACAAACATGAGGTTTTCAAACATTCATCCCCCTTTGTGTTTACAACTCTGTGATTTATAAAAGCGAGACATTTCAGATGTCCAGCCTGTTCTATGCGTATAGCAGTAGCCCTCTTAATCTAATGCAGAACACATACACCAATAAAAATGCATGTAAATAAACAAGCAATAAATAAAGCGTTAAATTAACACATCTTATAACATAATTAACATTGTGTGCACTAACATATGTTAATACTCCAGTGATTTAACTGGCACGAGTGATCAATCAATGGTGCATATTCAACCAGGCATCTAATTAATATCTTTGCAGTATTTGTTTCCTATGCCTAAATGAGAACTTTAAGCAAATCGCAATGCATTTGGTTTGTTTTAATATTACTGTCTACTCAAAATAGTGTTGTCCAGAAACCCATTAGCTTCTATTCTTTGAAGGTTCTCTTTTCATTAAAGCTTTTATTGTGTTATAGCCTGCAGAATGACAGTAATCCTCATCTATGCATGTAAAACAAAATATCTACAATATACTAGGATGACATACTAACATGCACACAGACACTCACAAGCTTTCTTTATGGTAAAATGAGGAGTATGAGTCCACTAGTATGTAGGAACCGGAGTAAAAGCAGAACATGTAACTGAAAAATACACTTAAATTCATTAATTTCTTCGTATTACAAAAACAAAAAGCAATTAAGCACGTCAATTATTTTTTCCTAATTACATCTATTATCACTTTTGCTTATATAATATAATATGTTTTACAAAATACACCTGCTGTTATTTAAAAAAATAACGGAGCAAATGAATTAGTGTGCATTTTGTTTTCACTCTTTAATTTTTTTTTTAATAAAAGAACGAAGCAGAACTTATGAACAATTCAATCTTAGGATTCATTCAAACGTTCTATCTTGGGATGAGCCGCTACGCTGATGGTTTCCTCACAACAATCTGGTCCCAACTGTGTATTGGTTTGTTAAAAAAAAGAATAAAATATCTCTTGGCAATGCATTGAGGATATCTGTGTGAATTTGACCTTGATGAAACCCAAAACACACAGAGGAAATGCTCATGAACGTTTAGAAGAATGTTTTAGCAGATATTGTACCAAAACAAAATGTGATTCACCCAATTTCACGTTGGAATTAATTTGACCCCAAAGTCAAAAAGTACTATGTCTAAAGATGCTGTCAAATTATTAAGAGATGAGAGGAGCATTGGTTACCAATACAAATATAAGAGAAATAAAAATGTGCTGACGTCAACCTCACAAAAGCGACTCTCAGCCGCATCCCATCAGCTCTTCTCTTACCAAAGCCTTCTTCATAGAGCGGTCCATTGTTCAATCTGCGGGGAATGGTGGAGAGGTTGAGAGCGACCCTTAGCAAGCACAGTCTTTGTGGGAGCGCTGCGGCTGCTCATTGAGCTGATGGCCCTGCTTGTGTCCAGTGATGGACGGATCCGCCGACTCCAGGTTCTCAGCCATCCTCTCACAGATTATGTCCACCAGTCGCTCAAATGTCTGCTTCACGTTAATGTTGTCCTTGGCACTGGCCTCAAAAAACATAAAGCCTGTGACAGTCAAAAGTAAAAGGCACTATTATATTCCAATTAAACGTAGGGCTGCAAGAAATCATCCTGCATATGAAGGAAATTCTAGTGGAAAACCCACCTAGCTGTTCAGACAGCTGTCTTCCTCTCTCTGAAGCAACCACTCTGTCGTCTTCCATGTCACACTTATTTCCCACCAGCAGCACTTGAGCATTGTCCCATGAATATGTCTTAATCTGTGTGGACCTAAGAGCAGTAAAGGGGTCATTAAGAAAAAGCTATTTAATAAATTAATAAAAGAATTAAAGAAATGTAATATTAATTAAAAATAAATTACATATTTTTAATTAAATATAAATAATAATATGAGATGAGATTTAAATACAAGATTATGGGAAGTTAGTTTAATACGCTAAATGCCTCGGACACTGTAACCTACTCAATAAAAAAAAATATATATATATATAAAAAAAAATTACTTCCATGTAAAACTGAGTCTTTGCCCTAACCAGCTATAACAACTAAAAGTGGCAGCAGTAGCAGTTTATTGTCATTTGGTTTTATTTCTGTGATATTGTGCCAGTTAGCCCCGCCCATCCTGAAATCTTATTGGTCCAAAGATCCACTCCACATAGAAATATATACAAGTCTCGATGAAACGGAAATACAACAGATCTTTTCTTTCATATAGTGATGTACATTTGCGTGTAACTAATTATCAAAAAAGAACAAAAAAGTAGAATAGGGACTCAGTTCTATCCATCAGTTGTTCGGTGGATTTTTAGATGTGGACGTTGCTCAGTGGAGGCAGATGAATGCAAGCTTGCAGCTGATTGTGGAGAGGTGGGTTTAAGTAGGACTAAATGATTGGAGAAGTCTATCATTTTCATTCTAAGATTGATTTGTGAAATTTTGATTACAAAAATTAGGAGGTCAAATTAAAAAAAAAATCAACATATACAAAGAAGAACTGTTCACAGTAAGAACAGTACATGCATTCAGAAAATAAGGTGAAGATTCATTTCATGTTGACTTTTGACCGATGAGACTGATTTTGAATGTTGTGATTGTGTCATGTTGTGTAGCAATTTCGTGTTCAACGTGGGTAAATTACTTATCGCTGGAATCATATCACATTGCACCTGGGTGTTGCAAATATATAGTGCATTCTCTCAGGACACCCAGCGTTTTGACAGAAACTGGGTCACATCTTTGCATATCAATTTTATGAGCCACAGACAAAAATAAGCACTATCATACCAGTCCTGAACGGCATTAAAGGAATCCTCGTTGGTGATGTCATACATCAGAATGAAGCCCATTGCTCCACGATAGTAGGCTGTGGTGATGGTCCTGTACCTTTCCTGCCCAGCAGTGTCCTGAAATATACAGTAGTTGGAGTGAAAATGTCTTGATGGTTCTATCAATGAAAAAACTCCTTAATCAAAATCAATGAGAATCATTGCTCTAACACAAAACTCAAGATTCTAGCAGAAATTAAACCTGAAAATGATAATTTGATAAATTTCTCACCCATATTTGGAGCTTTATCCTCTTGTCGTTCCGGTAGATGGTCTTCACTTTGAAGTCTATGCCGACAGTGCTGACGAAAGCAGGTGTGAAGGAGTCATCGGCATAGCGGAACAGGAAGCTGGTTTTGCCAACACTGCTGTTACCAATGATCAGGATCTTAAACATGTAGTCAAAGTTCTGATCCGCAGACTCTTTTTGTCCATATCGAGCATCATTTGCTGAGGCCATCTGCAACAATAAAAGAGATTCAGTGCCAAGGTGATTTATAGAATTGCTATTCTATTTGCATACTGTGTTAAAGTTGTGATGAAACAGAAGTAGCAATAGATCTTTTCTTCCATATTGTGATGTACTTTCAAGCGTAATGGATTATGACAAAATGTAGGGCAAGGACTCTGGTTGTTGACTGGGTATGGAGATGTGGGTGTTGCACTCAAAAGTGCATTCAGATGAACATGAGCTTGCAGGGACGGGATTTAGACAGATTAAATGATTGGAGAAGTCCTGCATACGACACCAGAGAGAAGTCTGACGTTTTCACCGGAAGGTCCGCTTATGATATTGTGATGAAACATTACAGGTCATAACATAAAAAAAAATAAATAACATATGCACGGATGAATTCTTCACAATAAGATCTATAACATGCATTTAGAAAATAGATAGGGTGCTTTTTCTTTTCATGCCAACTTTAACACTTTTCAAGTCAACGTTTTATTTCCATAACATGGCATATTTGGGTAAATTCATCTCAAGTGGTCCAACTAACCAATTGAGGTTGCTTGACCAATTTTTACATTTTCCTAACTTGTGATTACAAAAGTGATTACACCTCTATATTAGAGCCCGACCGATATGGGTTTTTTGGGGCCGATACCGATATTAGGGAGTAAAAAAGAAGGCTGATAAGTGTTAACCCTTGTTCTTTATAACCTCTGCGGTTCGCTCTGGCATGCTGGATATTAGCTTCTGGGCCAAATCCTGACTGATGGCGATCCATTCTTGCCTTATTAGTTCTTGGAGTTGATCACAATTTGTGGGCTTCTGCTTGTCCACTCGCCTTTTGAGGACTGACCACAGGTTCTCTATGGGATTGAGATCCGGGGAGTTGCCTGGCCACGGATCCAAAATTTAAATGTAATGATCTTCGAGCCACTTCTTTGCTTTGTGACATGGTGCTCCATCATGCTGGAAAGTGCACGAATCATTCAAAAATTTGTGAAAAGTTCATTTTTTTGCCCAATGAAGCTTTTAGCAATTATTTATGCATCTGATCACTCTACACAATAATCTAGAAACAATGTGAATGAACACCACAACAGCTTAAGCAGCAAACTTTGCAAAACACAATTTATGTCACTGCCAAAACTTTTGGCCATGACTGTATGTCCAAATTCATAGTATTTGACCTACTATGACCTACTGCTTTTGCCGAGATTCTGAAGTGCACATTCAGTGGACACTTTACTATCCCCTGAAGCCAAGGGAGATGATTTGTCAATGGCAGTGAAGCGATGCAACTGATGCTGGTCATGTGACAGTAGCAACATGGCAGATGTTCTAAATTTCATTCATACTCATATTCATACAGTAGAAAATTTTTAACAGTTGTGAAGCAAGTTTCACACCAAATGTAGTACCTACTAAACAGTATGCGATTTTGGACACAGCTTTGGTTTAATTACAGTGGCTTACTTTGTGTCTTGACTTCAAACAAATGTTCAGTTATACATTTACGGAAACCTCAATATCTTGGTTTAGGTCCTAGCTCCTTGGAGCAAAAACCCATCTTTAGTGCATGTTTCAGGTTACATGTACTGTACATAACCTTTTTTTTAAGTATTCTTGTTCCTTGGACTTAGAATTAAAGTAAAAATGTAATGAAGATCACTCAATTTTTTAATTTTTGACAGTCAATTAATAATGGGAAGGGTTCAAGTCTCAGTCCTAAATCTTTTTAGAGGATACCCAGCTAAGTATAGTGTGTATGCGGTGTATGCAACTTCTCTTATTTGTTTTTTTTCCTCTTATAAGTGCATAATAAGTTAAAATACCACTAACTTTCGGGATGAGAAAAGCCTTCTTTATTCATGTGCATTGAAAAATGAACAGATGTAACAAACATATAACAAATAATAAAAATGAAAAGATTTTAGACGGTTGCTCCATGTATTCTCCAGACATTCACCGTAGAAGCAATCAGATAGGAAAACTGACATAACTACAAGGCTGATTATTCTTATACTGTACACTACTCAATGGAGTCAGAAATTGATTCTGGCAATGTGTTGAAACAAATGCTTTCTTATTCACAGCCTGTTTGATGAATTACAACACAAATTCAAAGTGAATAGATAGTGTAGCCTGCACTATCCCTGTATCCTTCTGAATTGAGCTAGGAAGTCAGTGTAGCCAGGGATTTTAAAGGTTTTGTGCCGGCTAAACCCTGTGCTTAGCTCAGGAACTGAGCACACCAACAATAACAGGAGAAGATTATTCTAATATTCCCATTTGATCATAGAAGACCAAGTTGTTTCTTTTCTCATATAGAGACAAACCAACCCCTGAATGTTCGTACCTGCTCTGTTCATTCTGTTATTTGTTAGGCCACCTGAGCAGCCCATTTCAGGCACACATCAAGGCTTAATTCAAACATATGGCTCAGGCTAGGCGTACAAGATTAGATCAAGGAACCTTTGCGTATGAGAGGTGCTGCTACGTTCACGAGCTGATTGTCCAATCGAGACGTTTAAAACAAATGGCAGCCTGTGAGAGCGAGACTGCTGGCTGCTGTAGGGCTGATAGTGGTTAAGTCAGTTGAGCTCCGATTAGCATCTATCCGCTTAACACACGACTGATTTCCATTTTTATTAGGGTCAGTGAGTGACTAACATCCCATCGATCACAGAGACAGTATTCACCATAACTGCCAGTGACAATGTGCCGAGTGTCAAAAGCCAGTTGACATGTTAGTTTGTAGCATGCAGCGATGGATTATATAGCAGAGGCTGTTTATGATCCATTCCAGTTAGCGATGTCAAATGAAGGTTACGCTGTTTTTAAACTAAAACCATTGATTTCGACTTCTTTCGAAATAAATGCAAGATGAAGCGGCATGATGTTCTTAGAGAAAGCCCAGCTTACCTTAACAGGAGGTTTATTTGCTGTAGTTTGGATGCAGTTCCCAGCGTGTGCACCTGTACTCACGCTTTGGGGGCGGGGCTAAACATTGACTGACATGTGGATTAACCAATTACACGTTCGCTCCGTCACCGTAGCGACTTATTAGCGGTCTTCTAGAATGATACATGAAGCAACAAGAGCATTTGCTATTTTTTTTAGATGTTTTAAATTAATACTGTGGATCCCCATTTCAGTATTTTAAAGTAATAATTTCTTACATTTCATAATTTCAATTAAATTATAACGGTCATAATTTTGAAATAAAAAGTCATAATTATAAAATAAAAAATCTTAACTATGCATTTTCATGACAAGCGAAAACGTCTAAACTATGACATACTAAATCAATTATCAGACGAAAGTCATCTTTATGAGATTAAAAATCAATTAAAATTATGATGAAATCATAACGCAGCCATAATTATGAAATAAAGTCATAATTATAATTGACACAACTATGAAATTATGTCAAGTCAATGGCATAACGTCGAAATAATTACATGAAAAGTCAAAATAATGACATACTTCCAAAGTCAAAATAATGACAATCAAAATGTATAAATCACGACAAATAGAAATGTTGAGATAAACAGTCATAATTTAGACTTTTGTCATAATTATCAATTTTGTAATTTTTGCTAACTTTTCACGTCATAATTATGTTTTTTTTTTCCAAAGGACACAAAGGTCTGGCACAGAAAACTAACTTTGGCTTTACGTGTTATCTTGTAGCGCACAGCTCTCGTTTTAGAACAAAACTGTTCACTTTTGTTTAGACATCATGCATCTGTAAAGACGTTAAGACACCTCATATTTTTCAGTGTGACCAGCACAGAAAGAGAGAGAAAGTTCACATGTGGTTTAAGGACCCCGATCACTTCCTATACAGCTAATGTGGTTTTCCAAGCTAGCCCAGCCTTCCAGAGACCAACTTACATACAGGGTGCGTACACATGCTGGTTACCCTGCAGATTTACAGATTTATTTATGTTTATCAAGTTATCATAATTATAACTTTGTCATTATTTCGACTTTTCATACAAAATTTTTTACTTTATATGTCAGAATTATGATGTATATATATCGTAAGCTCATCTTTTTTATTTTTAATCTTCTAATTTACCAATAAATAAATAAATTCTTATGAGGTGGAAATGGATTTCCACAACACAAATGAGTCCAGCTTACTAATATTTCTTCGTTTATTGGCATTGGGAACAGGAAAACAATCACAGCATCATTAGTAACAGCGTTGTAGTGGTAAACAGTACTGTTGGGATTGTCAGATTTGTGACAGAAAAAGACCAAACAGAGGTGTGCCATGTGGATACAGTCAGTCGAAACTTTGCATGGCCACTCAGCATTTCTCTCACCACACGAAACATTGCTATAAAGAGCACAGACAGACATTAAGATGAACATATAGCCACTAATTAAAAGCCCCGTTTACTGTAATCCATTTACATAGCCTACATAAATTCACTGTATCCAATATTAAAATTCATACCATGGTATAAAAAGGACACAAATAATCTGACTTACAATGAGCACACTGAGTCAGAAAGACTTGAAACCTGTTATTAATCATGAATACTCTTAAATAAAATTTCAGCTTGACAAATCGACAGTTTTGAATGAAGAATTAAAAGAAAACTAAATGCTCAAATCAGTACGTTACTGACAGTAGAAAATGTCATTGATGGAAATTAGCCAGTGGCAAAAAGGAAATTACAGTTACAGCATGGATCATGCTTGCTTGGCACTTGTACTGTCATTGGCTATGTCCCTGTGAAGAGCAGAGCACTGATCAATCACCAAAGGACACAAAGGTCTGGCACAGAAAACTAACTTTGGCTTTACGTGTTATCTTGTAGCGCACAGCTCTCGTTTTAGAACAAAACTGTTCACTTTTGTTTAGACATCATGCATCTGTAAAGACGTTAAGACACCTCATATTTTTCAGTGTGACCAGCACAGAAAGAGAGAGAAAGTTCACATGTGGTTTAAGGACCCCGATCACTTCCTATACAGCTAATGTGGTTTTCCAAGCTAGCCCAGCCTTCCAGAGACCAACTTACATACAGGGTGCGTACACATGCTGGTTACCCTGCAGATCACGGCGAATCCTAGTCTTCTGTATGTTAATAATGACTCCAGCCCTTACTGATGGAGCAACGTTTGGCATCTACTAAAGTGCTACCTAGAACATCAGAAACAAGCCATTTTAAAACTGTGACATACAATGTAATAATGCTTACGCTCATGCTTTGGATGAAGCAGAATCGAAAAATAAACGAGAAGCATATGTAAACCATGTGCATGCCATAAATTAAAGCAGCATTCCTACAAATTAAAGGGAGAAGGGTTTTAAATTAAAACGGTCTGATGATTATAATCTGTGCAAAGGAACAACAATACAGAGCCACTGTGTTCGGCTGGAGTGGTAAATCCTATAAACGTTGCTCCAGTTCCACTATTAAGCACTAGGTGGCGTCACATACAAACACAAAAGATCACAATCATGGCTCGACTTCAGTCTACAGATTTTATAGCGATCCGAGGAAGACGGCGGTCACTATGTGGGTACCCTCAAGCTGTTTGCTACATGAAAGTTTCTTTGAATCCTGAGATGTTCTGGTGTGTTAAGGTTAGGTTGTTTTTGTTCAGCTAATATTAGACCAGCTTTAAGTCAACAGTGTATATTTTAAAAAAACATTTTAGTGCACATACGTCTCACATAAAAAGTGTCCTCTATATCAATCATGTTCGGACGGCTCCACTTGTTCGTTAACTTTAAACCTGGGATGTCACAGGAAGACACTTGAGGACGTTTCCTCTCAGTCCATAACACATAGGCAGTTTTACCCTTGACAGTAAAGCCGAATGGCATCCCGAAGTCACAAGACCGAGAATGTTTTAAAAAAGCTTCATGCTTTGACAGTCCGTAGAGTAGGAGCTTTCTCCAGTGCAAGGTGACTACTGTATAAAAAACGTCCCGTGGAAGCTTTCCTACCTCTCCTTTGCTCTCCTGCACTGTGTCGCCTCCGCCCGAGGAAGCTAAGAATGGGATGAAGAGGGATAGGGAGGTGGTGAGGAAGAGGTACGAAAAAAGAAAATAGAACGAAATGAAAAAGTGCATTAGTGTTATGTTCCCAGACGCAGGCAAGACACGCTTTTCCCTTCTTGGTCAAGTTCTCTATCTTCATCTTCACTGTCTGGCGGCTCGCCCATCTTAAAAGACATTGTCCTGCAGCCAGGGGAGCGAGCGGTCAGGTTGACTTGCTGTGTGCAGGGAGCCGAAGACGGATGTTTGCCTTCTGGATCTGTCCTGGAGTAATCCTGTGCGGTGGAAGTGAACTCTTCGTCCACGGGACTCTCAACGTCAGACTCCCCTTCCTCCTCTAAGGTCAGTTCGAACTGGAATTTCTCCCCTGCTGAGGCAATACTTCCACCCATCGCTCCCATCCCGACCACACCGCCCTTGTCCTCAGGGGTGGAGGTGGGACTGTGAGGGATCATGCTCTGGTACCACTCACAGTTGTCCTCCAGCATATCGAGAATCTCCTGGGCATCAGGGTGAACCAGATCCGCCCAGGTCTCCCATAGCGGGTGCACAATGTAGTCAATGAAGCCCACCTGATGGACGAGGAATGAGCAGTAAATATGAGTTTGTACTGTCATTCTACAACAGTGGATTTAAACACTAATAATTGGTAAGTCTGTTTATTTATTAGAATGTCATTAGTTATTAGTTAATTATTAGTATGTCTGTGTGTATATATATATATATATATATTAATATATATATATAAGGTATTACATAATGATAAATTATTATTGTTATTTTTATAATACAAATTTTACATAATCACATATCAATATATATTATTTTATCAAATTTTTATCCTATCTATCTATCTATCTGTCTGTCTGTCTGTCTGTCTGTCTGTCTTAGTATATATATGAGTACATACATATTTATTTTTAATATGGTGCTCCAGAGTGGCAATCTGAAATTCAATTCAATTCAATTCAAAACTTGAATTGCAATCTGAAATCAGTTGTTTTATCTTTTATTAGTTTTAGACTTAGAAATGTTGTTATGCTTTTGTAATTTTATCAGTTTTATTTTTTAATATTTGCTTGAATTTATTTTAATTTAAATTTTAGTTTTAATAATTTTGTACTTCAACTTAAATTGGCTTAGGTGGCAACTTTTCTAACTGACATTTAGTTTTTTTTTTTAATTTAAATGTTTAATCTAATATTTATATTTTATTTCATCTTTAATTTAATTAAGTTTTAGTTTTTGTTAATTTCAACACTGATTTATACATTTATATTATATTATATTATATTATATTATATTATTCTAAATGATAGAATGAGGCCCAAAGTCCTCAAGGCCTGTTTGGGGCATTTCATTTATCATTTTCCTTCACTCACCTGTGATTTCTCAATGGAAGCATTGTGTTTGTCACACATGGGGCTGATCTCCATACCCTTATCTCTCTCTCGGTCCCCCTGAGTAAAAAACTCCACCATGATGCGATCCGTCCACTGACGGTACAGCTCCAGGGGCTTTGTTGGGTTGCTCAGGTCAGCACAATGCACCATGTTCTGAAGAACCTAAGCATTTGATTAACCACACATTTTTAATGATAAACGTCTTACTTATGAAGCAAAAATTAATTTCTAACCATATAAAATGGCTTTGCTCCACAGAAGCTCAAAATATACCTGAATGCGATCAGAGTAGTTGTCTAACAGCAGCACGCCCAGACTTGTCACCTTCTTGGTCTCTACCATGGTCTTGAGATCCGCTAACAGGTTCATATGCTTTGACATATCAGTGGCTAGGACCTATAAAGAGTCAAATGCACGGTAAATAAACAAAACCACGTGTTGGTTGTAGTTCTCAGACTTGGACCTCTTCATCATTGCCTCACAGATTCGTCATTGTCTCCATTTCCTCACCATGTCAATGACCATTTTGCGCAGCGACTGCCTCTGTTTCTTGGTCAGGTTCCG